GAAACCTTAAAATGCCACAGAGACATTATCAGTGTTAAGACACGACTGGAGTGACTATACACCCGACAAGCAGTGGCCAAACCCTGAACAGTCCCCACTGCGAGGCCCTGACACTGACGAAAGTGTAGGATGGGACATGTGGGTACTGTGCGAGCTTTCTAGCTAAGATGCAGTTGAATATTACTGTGGTGGCAGGTCTGCAGGCAGACGCTGGACCCGGTGTGGAACGAGGCCGGCTTCTGCATCCTTATCTAAACTTACAAAGACGTAATCCCCTCAACCTCGGGGCAGGGGCAGGGCTGCTAGATTCCGCTAGATGTTAAGATAAATGATTCCCCAAGTGCACACTTCATGATCATTTAATCTGCATGTACATGTATCCTGGACAACGATGTTCCATGCGGGGATGCCCAGGAGCACGAGTTCCGATACAAGCCCGGCGCCAACCTGCAGTTCCAGGTGCTGGATAAGGACCCCCCTTGGTTGAAGTCCTCCCCATACTTTGCCATACTTGAATCCACCAGCATCAGGATGACTCCTTCAAGGACTTGACGGAACGTTTGGATCCCGGATTCCGTCTACCACGGTCACTACAGTGTTGCTACAGGCTGCGTGCTTGAAGTCCGCGCCAGAATTGGATAAGGGATAGGGAGCCATGAGGCAGGGCCCTTTCTGGCTATGGCAGCGATGGGATCTTAAGAGAAGCGCCCAAAAACCCCAAGAGACGCCCTGGCGTCCAATGAGGTCTGCTGGACTTTCGCGGGATCGGCTCCGACTTCCTCGGTCAAGTGACCTTGGAGAGCGAGGAATTCTATCCGTGGCTCAGCCTGCACAGCATTCCTAGAGTATTCCTAGAGTCCTAGAGTGGCTGTGCAGAATACATGTGCTGCTCTAGAGTCCCTATGAAATGTTCTTTGTGTGCACCTCTTTTTTTCTATCTCTACAGGCATACATATGCAGATGATCGTGGTAGATATCATCCGTAGTTCGACTTGCGACAGACTGACGATAGATTCAATCCCCAAAATGGCCGAAGTGAGCGAAAACAAAGATGGGCGTAAAGTTCAGATCTTTGCCAAAGCATGTCCAGCCTCTAGCACTGCATCCGACGTCACCGGTCAGGAAGGGGTTCGAGGGTGATGTCATGCTGGAGGGTGTTCCCGGGGGCAGGAACGCTCCCCTGGCATGTTGCTGAATGTCTCTGAAGTGCGAGTTGCTTTGGCAACCTGGCAACACTGTGCACTAGGCAAGTCTGCATGTCAGCCAGGCTCTATTGCACCTGCGAATCACGGTGGATGAGGGCCAGGCGCAGCACGTGGGTTTGGCAAGTCGTATCCCGTTGCAGCTTTGAGGAAGAGTGTTGAGACAGAAGAGTGGGTGAGCGACTGGGACTAGCCAGCTCTGACGTTGACAGGTGCGCTTACCCGTTCCTCCTCAGCTACCCACTGCACAGCCGGCAAGCGAGACTGTAATGGATACGGCCGAAGCCCAGAAGTTGTTCGAAGCTGAGGCCCATCACTGCTGTTGAGCACGCACTTGTACGAGTTCTGCAAAAAAACTGCGCAAGCTCCTAAGGCTTTACGACACTGAGGAGACGCCAGACAGGAAGCCAAAGGAGCCCGGGAGGACGGCCCTGCGGTTGTCGCAGGCAAATCATCCCTCACATGATTCATGTGACTAGCCTTCCAGGACACAGGAAACCAGCAGCGCACATCCTCCCCAGCAGCTTCCTCTCCGACAGCATCCTCGCCAAGAGAATTCCCATCGAGAACAGAGGTGTGCCAAATTTGTTCGCTTCTGAATCTAGTTTAACGGACTCTGGACCCCCGCCCTTTCCCCCGTCCCTCACATGCGGAACGCGACCTTACAACGCTTATGGTGATGGCTCTGCAGGCGGCAGCCTAGAATGAAACGCCTCAACAAATCAAATATGAGGATGTAAGTGTTGGAGTATTCTAGAGACATCTAGCAGATACTTCTGTGTCTTGGGAGGGGTGGCTCCTGCTCCTCGGCTTCGCCCCGGGGCCTTCACGATGCTGCGCCCCCAGGGACGCTTCCTCCCAATGCTTTCATCAACTTTGCGGGGAAAAACTTCGAAAGCCTGCGGGGGAAAAACTTCGAAAGCCTGCGAAGGTTTGGCAGCTTCGGATCACAATGGCTTCGGCCGCCGCGCTGCCGGCTTCGGGCAGGGCTGGCAGGCACCAACCCTGGCCTTCCTGACTGGGTCATGCAAGTTGACAAGTGCGGCCATGCAATAAAGCAGCTTCAAGAGTCTTCTAGCATCACTGTGCTTCAGCCCACGAGGTGCAGCCCGTACTGCCTTTGCGACGTTGCCGGAGACATGCCCTTTCAGTGCCGAACAGCTGTGGTCCCCGACTCGCATGAACCAGCACGGGGCCCTACACGGGGCCCTACCACCTGTAAGGCAGCCTTTACACGTCGCAATCATGAAATGCAGGAGGGTCTGTGGAAGGCTTGGAGGGTGCGTGCTGAAAGTGCTGACGAGGTCTGGAACAAGACGGTTGGCATGGAGTTTTCAGGCAAGGATCCGCTCGCCTTCTCTGTATACAGCAAGGACCGGCCTCTTTTGAACTGCTTCCTTGGCTTTGCCTTGTGTTTCAGACTCGAACCGACACTTTTGGGAGGAAGTTTGGCCAGACAAGGACACGCTGCTTGCCACTGTCCTCTTCCCAGCGCCGATGTGATAATTATGCGGCGGTTGTTCTGAAGGTCTTTCTGGGCACAGACAGTTTGAATCCCTCTAACGGGGAGTCCTTGCTGGAACGGGAACCTGCCCTTATAGTTGTTTTGGTGACAGGTTCCTTGAACTGCGATGTGCTACGTTGAAGTCCATTCGTGTGCACAAACCCTTCAAGCCCCATGCTGACAATATCAGTATCTGGAGTTGCATTTCACGCGGCGTGTGCTTCCCAGGCTGTGCTCACAGCAGATCAAATCCTTCCACATGGCCACGGCCTGAGGAGATTTGAAGGCCAAGCAACCGAGCTGGGGGTTTAACATGCACGAATCTCTGTTGGCCTATTGCATGTCTCAAGGCTTCGACGGGGACCTTGACTTAGACATCTGCGATGTGGGTTCCCAAGATCCAACAGGTCCAAGAGGTCCAAGACAGGTGGCTTGTGGCTTTTGCAGCCTCGAGGCCCAGACTGAGAGGGACTTCGAGAAGCCGTCCCTTCGGCTGCAGGCAGGAGTTCAGTTTTCGGGCCAGCGGGGGATCATGGCTAATATGGCCATTGTGCATCACGGCACAGCCAGATTGTACACGGCAGGTCACCTGCCACAGGATTCAGCGAACGGCAGTCCGAAGCTTACTGTACTCATTGTACCCGTGCTGATCTGATGATGCCATATGCAGCACCGATCAAGATTGGTTGTCAAGGCTTCGGCTGGTCGTCGCGAGAAGCACCAGCACCAAAAGCACTTGGAGGCCGTGGGACAACGTGGTCAAGACAAGCCTACGAGCCTGGGACCCAGGTCGTCAAGAGTTCAAACCCGGCATTTTCATGTTATAGATGGCCGAGTGAGAGATGTGAGCCTCAAGCCCTTCATCATCTTCACAAGGGCGATACGGGGGCTTTCTGAGACCAAAACATGGATCGCCCAGGCCCTAGACGAACATCGAAGCCGACACTGAGCCCAAAGAGGTCCTTGGACGCAGCTCACCTCTGAAGCAGTCGGAAGCATCCTGCATCTCGAGCACATAGCTTACTGGTCTCACGCAGGCTCAAAGTGCTCATCCAGAGCTTTCGAGGATTACATGGGATGGACTTGTCTTCCAGGCTGGGTATTGGCTGTCGATCATCCCAGACAGCGGTACGCATGCGACACCAGGAGAGCGTTCTCCTGTATTTGCGCCATCGCCGGGCCAGCCTCGCATGGTTGAAGCACAGCAAATCCGGAGTCGGAGGATGCTGGAGGTGCATAGCCCGAGGCGAAGATATGCCGACTTGCAGACGGGCCCTGCCATGGAGCAGGGATATCAGACTGCCCAGGGCCTACGAATCTAGAGCCTCACTTCCTGTATTTGAGCATCTGTGTTAGTGTGAGGTCGCTTGTCATTCTGATGTCGCTTACGGTTATGTTACTATTGTTATTATCCTTCTTATGAGACTTTTTCGGATGATTCTTATGACATGTCGTTTGTGCCATCTTGGAGGTCTGGAATCTGGAAGGTGACCTTCAAGACTACGTGGAGGGTGAAGACCTGGAGTTCCACGTAGCTTGTGAGGACCGGTGCAACATGGTGCAACTGGACATGGCTCTTCTGCATCTTAATGGAGCATCCGAAGCTGATCTCAGGACATGCATCTTGAGGGATCTGCTATTCTCCGGCCGCAGTCCAACATCTGCGGAACCGTCGAACTTGAGGGAGGGGTTTGTTGAAACGCGGAGGTGTCATCAGTTCTACCCCTTTGGGTACAACTCGGACATCACACTTGCAAATGACGGACAGGGCTGCTGCCTTAACAGCGATCAAATTCCGGCATGCCAGCATATGTCAAAGATGCCATAGGTTGACCGATGTCAAGGCATCGTGGGCTTACTGCGGGTGAAAGTCACCGTGGAAAAAGGAGCCAGTGAGAAGCAGGTCCTGCCAACTGGGCCAGACACCCAACATTCTTCGCAGACCTAAGCCTACTGAGCCTGCACTCCATTTTGCTGAGACCTGACGTGTGCAGGCTGCGTACCCTGGGTCTGCAACAGCCATCTTCAGCTGCCGAAGCGAGGCTAAAGCAAGCAGGCCGGCACATGCAGAGAACTCTCAAAGCCCCCTCTCAAAAAAAGCCCCCTCCAGTAACTTTGCCCCTCTGCTCTCCCAAGTTCCAGGTGATGTTTGGCTGCGCAGCCAAAGACCCTGGGATGCTTTCCACGCATCGTTGGCGGCAGCCCAGGGCCAGGATCGTCATCGGCTCTCCTCTCAGCCCGGGCCTTGGAATGCACACCGCAACAGCAAATAGCTGTGGACCCATATTGGACCAATGCTGATAGTGGGATATGGTGGGCGGCAGGTCCAGCGCGATCTTGCAGCCGAAGGTGAGCCAGCGCCTCAGGCTAATGGCCCGCAGCCACCGCTTTCACCACCGCTTGATGGAAACATCAAGGCCGCGTGCCCGCCAGCACCGCGTCCCCCACGCGAAGTGTCCAAATTGGCCCAAGTGGCCCAAGCCAGGCTCTGTGCACTTTGCATCGGGACCGTGCATTCTCTTACATGTTCCTCGGTGATGCAACTCGGAACAGGCACCGATGCGAGGGAGATCTACCTCACCATCAAGGCCCTGCCCTCAGAGCCATGGGCTGCAGCGTTGAGGAAAGCAGAGCTGCTTCATTGAAGGAGGTAGCTCTGTTGAAAGGCGCTCTTCGCAGGTTATTCGTGACAAACCCTTTCAGATCTGACATGACCAGCAGCTGAACAGTTGCAGGGCACAAGTCCTGCCACTACAAGCATCAGCGCCGCTTACCCAGCAATGCTTTGTGTGCATGCGTCCGCCCTTGCGTTGGTGCCCCTGAATCCTCGAATCTTACCAGCGAGTCTCGAGGCCGCTGTCGCCGCAACGCCTTTGCCAATGCCACGTGGGATACGCCCAAGCAAATCAAGCAACACACAGTCCAGTGGTGTTGGGAGCTTCCCCGGTCCCCACCCAGAGGCAGCCGCAGCTGCCTGTAAACCCTGTGCCAAGTGCAATCGCGGCCCCACATCCTGCAGTCCCAGCTGCTGTTGGGATCTGTTCAGCCCCTTCACCTACGCCAATGCCACACATGACACACATGACACACATGCCACTAATGCTTCCAATGGGATGCGCGGCACCGAGTCTGACCAGTACGGCAACTTCCATGGCAGGCGCTTTCCCTGCCATGCTTATGCGATCAAGGACCCCAACATGGTAAATTTCATCAATATTTCATCCAATGGTTCATCCCCGGCCAGTAGCAGAGCATGAAAGACAAAGTGATATGAATTGGCACTATTTGGCACTGGACACACCAGCTGCTTCACTCGGAGGCGTGATGCCAACACCAGCATTTGCTGCTGGCGCGCACCCTGTGGATGCGGGAGTCGTATCATTACTGCGAGAGGCCCAAGCAAGCCGGAAGCTCAGCACACCTTTCGTCGGGTCGCCATCGGCTTCCGCCCTCACCTGCTTTGAGGCCTCGAAGGCTTGCGTCGTGGGGCGATGCCTGCAGTGCTCTAGTTGGAAAATTAAACCTTACCTGTGCTTGGGATGGATTAGGCATGCGTACGATATGTTTTTCGGCATCATGCTGTCAGCTGCGTAAATCGGAAGGCCGCATAGTAAAATGATTAATGTCGGTCTTCACCGGAGAAACTTCGTGAAAATTGTATATTTGGTACTTGGTACTGTTGATAAGGTTTGATTTAATTAGACTGGAATGGGAAAATGCAACGGCCAAAGAATTTCTGAGAATTATTCTCGGTTAATGGTAGTTAAAGGAGGGTTTGCTGGTTATGTTCGGAATGAATTGGAGTTTTTTATTCGTTAGGAAGAGGGAAGGATTCCGAATGAAAAAGGAATAATCTCTCTTTGGGGGCAAAAGGAGGGCTTCTGAGAAACCCCAATAGATTTACAATATTTAAATTTAAATATATTGGATTTTCTCAGAAGCCAAACCATTTAGATAATTTAAACAATTTAACTAATTTGAACAACTTAAATGTTTTTTTCAATTACTTAGATTTTTTCGGGGCCTGTGAATTTAAACAACTTAAATAATTTAAATACGGGATTTAGATTATTTGAATTAGTTTCGGGACCCGTGAATTTAGGGGCCTCAGGGTTTAGGGGGTAGGCGCTGAGGCTCTTAGCGGCTTAGGAGCATAGGGTTTAGGGTTTAGGTTTAAGGATTTCGGAGCCTAGGAGCTTAAGGTTTAGGGTTTGATTTATGGTTTAAGGGTTTGGGGGGTAGGCGCTTAGGAGCTTAGGAGGGTTTAAGGATTTAGGGGGTAGGCACTTAGGCGCTTAGGACCTCAGGAGCTTAGGGTTTAGGGTTTAAGTTTAAGGGTTTAGGGGGTAGGCGCTGAGGAGCTTTGGAGCTTAGGGTTTAAGGATCTAGGGGATAGGCGCTTAGGAGCTTAGGAGCTGGAAGAAGGTTTAAGGGTTGAGGGGGTAGGCGCTTAGGAGCTTAGGAGGGTTTAAGGATTCAGGGGGTAGGCACTTAGGCGCTTAGGACCTCAGGGTTTAGGGGGTAGGGGTAGGCGCTTAGGAGCTTAGGAGCTGGAAAAAGGTTTAAGAGTTGAGGGGGTAGGCGCTTAGGAGCTTAGGAGGGTTTAAGGGTTTAGGGGGTAGGTACTTAGGCGCTTAGGACCTCAGGAGCTTAGGGTTTAGGGCTTAAGTT